GAATCCACCAATGAGTGAGTACATACCATAACTGTCTTTCTGGGTTTGGGTTACCTCACTCAGGATGATATTTTCTAGTTCCATCCATTTGCCTGCAAATTTCATGCTTTCATTGTTTTTCTCTGCTGAGTAGTACTCCATTGTGTATATGTACCACATTTTTTTCATCCATTCTTCCGTTGATGGGCATCTAGGTTGTTTCCAGGTTCTGGCTATTACAAATAGTGCTGCTATGAACATAGCTGAGCATGTATCTTTATGGTATGTATCAGCATTCCTTGGGTATATGCCCAAGAGTGGGATGGCTGGGTCTTGAGGTAGTTCGATTCCTAATTTTCTGAGAAACCGCCATACTGATTTCCATAGTGGTTGTACAAGTTTACATTCCCACCAACAGTGGAGGAGTGTTCCCTTTGCTCCACATCCTCTCCAACATTGGTTGTCATTGGTGTTTTTGATCTTAGCCATTCTAACAGGTGTAAGGTGGTATCTCAGGTGACTCAACTCTTAATGTCTACAAGATGCAGCTTCTTTTTTATAAAATGTAGATAAGAATTCAACTTAATGCACCATATTTCTTGGAGAATGAAATGGCTAATGCTCTTTAGTGTTAGCACAAAGCCCCACACACTGTACGTATATGATAAATCTAGAGCCATTGAATGCTATAGAGAGAGTGTAGGATGATGCATACATGGGCATATTTATCTAAGAGAAGTTTAGAGGAAGGTCCATCCACAGTGGTTAAGTGGTTACCTCTGGGTAGTGGGATTTGGATCAATATTACTTAAAAACAAAACAAAACAAAACAATGAAACAGAAAACTTTTCTAGCTTTTGGAGAGATTGCTCAGTGATTAAGAGCACTTGTTACTCTTTCAGAGGACCCGAGTTTAATCCCAAGCACTCAGGTTAGGTAGTTCACACAGCCTGTAATTCCAGATCCAGGAAATCTGAAGCCCATTTCTGGACTCTGCAGGCACCTACACACATGGCATTCTCGCCCTTCCCATCTCCTTCTCTCCTCCTCCTCCTCCTCCTCCTCCTCCTCCTCCTCCTCCTCCTCCTCCTCCTCCTCCTCCTCCTCCTCCCTCCCTCCCTCTCTCTCTCTCTCTCTCTCTCTCTCTCTCTCTCTCACACACACACACACACACACACACACACACACACACCAACTCCTACAGTGTCTAATCTTTCTTCATAGTAATCATACTATATTTATCAGAAAAGATAAAACCAAACTCTTTGGGAGTGAAAGTAGCTATGATTTAAGAGCTATGATATAGGGGTATATTTCAAAGAAAATGATGACCTCAATCATCTTTCTTTGATTTTTGTTCTCTAAAAAACTAAACTTTAAGTACACAATTGGATCAATTATAACATGTAGTTGTGGCAGGAAATGGTAGACTTTATTTCCTCTTTGTTCTGGGCACAAATCTGGATTGCATTTCCCAGCTATACCCTTATGGCCCATTCTTCCTTTCTGTCCTTATTTCTAGATGGCACCAGGTAAGTGCTTCTCACTAATGGAATGTAACCAAGGAGTGCATCCTCCTGGTGGTTAACGTAGGTGTGTCTTTTCTATGCTGCACTGTCCTTCCAGGCACCAAGAGTAGAAGCAGCCCAGCTTCCTGTACCACTGTGTGTTAGAGCTCCTCCAAGCACACAACTGACTAGGACTACTTGCCTTGATTTTTGTGTCAGTCTAATCTGAATGATATCATTCTATATACATCATTCCTACTGGCCTATATGTGATCTTATTTATTTACTATTCAATTAATTACATTGCACAATGTGCCACCGATGAATATATTTCAAGTCAGAGCACTTGAACACTCAAAATATTTTAGTGTGTTTCAAGTTTAGAACTAGAGGCAGAATTTTTGAACCTGGTAACACATGAATATTTGCCTTTATATGACAATGATGAATTTCTCTCCAACTAGATTATCAGTTTCTTTTTTTCCAGCGGGTTATGAAAACATATATCAATTTCTAATATCCTAAGTGATATGCTGCTCCATATCTGGCATCACAGTACTATTATCATAGTTATTAATTTTTGCCACTTACGTAGGGAAATATGGGGGTCACACTGTTACCCTGATTTCCATTTTCATGGCTGCTACTGACAAATTCTTCAGTTTGATGCTCCCTTTGCACCAGGGGTCTGTTGTCTTCCTTGTTACTTAGTTGCCTTGTGCCAGAGACTCTACCATTTGATTTGGCAAACACAAAGTGAAGAATCATATTGAGTGCTTAAAAATTTCCATTTTAATATGGTAAGGTTGAGGTCAGCCATCAGTCACATTGTCTATTTTTATTACCACATGTAAAGCCACAGTAATCTTCATACTTTGTTTCCATTTTTATTACTTTTTTATCTTTTAAATTGTAAGACATAGTTGCATGTATTTGCCGTGTGCAACATGGTTTTGAAGTCTATATACTTTTAACATTAATTAAGATATGCATTACCTCACACAGTTATTTTTAAGTGAGAACACTTTACATTCACTCCCAGGATTATTCAAGAATATAATATATTGTTACTATACTCACCACATTGTACAATAGATTGCCTGAAATTATTCTCCTGTCAACTGATATTGGGTGTCCTATGACTAGTGTCGCTCCAGTCCTTCTCAGTCCTTCTTGACCATCATTCTACTCTCTGTTTCTATAAGATCAACTTTTTTATATCCAACATGTGAGTAAGGTCACAGAGTATGTGTCTTTCTGTGCCTGGCTTATGTCACTTATGATACACTATAGGTTCACTTATTACATTTTCTATATCCATTCATGCACTGATAGACACTGAGGTTGATTTCATATCTTGGTTATTGCTAACAAGGCCAAAATGAATGTTGATGTGCAGATGCCCCTGTCACATAGTCACTTTGAGAGTAATGGATTTCAGGGTCATACAGTAGCTTTAGCTTTCCCAGGCATCCCCCCACACTGTTCTCCATAATGGTGATAGTAACCAGAGTTCCTATTAACAACATGCAAGAGTGTCTTAAGGGAGTCTAAAGTGACCCCCACATGTTTGTATTTGGGAATTGGGACAAAGCATTACTTAGTCAAGGAGAAGAAGCAGTTTGAATGGGAAATGTGTTCAGAGTTGAAGACCAATGGCCGAGCTGTGGAAATAGTTTAAAATACATTCTGAAAGTTCGGAGTGAAGTCTGCCTTGAAGATTAAATGCCAAAAATGAAACATTTCTTAGAGATTAATTTAGGATGATCATGGAAATATAAATTTATTTTCATATTTCTAATATTAGTAGCAAAATCTTTCAGGATACGTGTTCAATAAATGTATTTTATTGATAGTTACATAAGAAACAAAACCAAAATGGAGTACCAGAAAGTTTGGTGTAACTGATATACTCAAATTCTACTGAAGGCATTGCAAATGAAAGCTATAGTTTGGAAAGATTATACAGAAATTACAAGAACTATAAATATAGTGATATGATTTCACTCAGTATTCATCTTCCAAATTATTAAAGGAATCAGACAAGATTGTATTACTGATGATAGGATCTATGTGGCAATAACAGAAGAGAGTATTTAATGTGTGTGTGTGCTTTTTCAAAGTAGAAAAGAGAAAGTGGAAGAAACCTGAGAAGCTATTTAAATGGATGTTAAAACAGCAATCATTGTGTGTTGTGGAATATTATTTTAACTAGGCAAAGATGTGTTACATTTGCTTATGCTGTGGAATATGACTTTAACTATGTGAAACTGTGTTACATGTGTTTCTGCTGCCTTTATTAACAATGTAAAGGTATGTTACATTTGCTTATGCTGCGGAATGTGACTTTAACTATGTGAAGGTGTGTTACATTTGTTTCTGCTGCCTTTATTAACAATGTAAAGGTGTGTTACATTTGCTTGTGCTGCATCTGTTTAATTATGTGAAAATGTGTTGCATTTATTTTACCTTGCCTGCCTAAGGCACCTGATTGGTCTGATAAAGAGATAAATGGTAGCCGGGCGGTGGTGGCGCACGCCTTTAATCCCAGTACTTGGGAGGCAGAGCCAGGTGGATCTCTGTGAGTTCGAGGCCAGCCTGGGCTACCAAGTGAGTTCCAGGAAAGGCGCAAAGCTACACA